CAGTGCCCACTTCCCTGTTCCTCGTCCTGGGCTGACCTCCAGTTCCCAGTTCTGGTTTTGGTTATGGGAGGAAAGAGGCACATCCTTGCAAGAGACGATGGCTTGGATCCAACCAACATCCTTTGGCATGTGAGTGAAATGACTCCCAAGAAGGAAGGATGGATGACTCGGCTCTAAAGTACAGAGAAAAAACTGCACCAACCAAGCTTCTAGGTTTGGCCCATCATCCTGGTGTCTTTCCACACGTGTCGCCTTTCAGTTGGTTCCCCAAAGCCGGTGGCCCTTCAGAGCAGAATTTCTCATTCTCTGCAACTTGAAGATGGGTGGACTTCAATTCCCAGAATGCCCCAGCCAGCCTTGCAAGCCTGGATGGGAAATTCTGGGAATTGAAGCCCATGCCCATCTTAAAGTTGCAGAGATTGGGAATCCTGGGAGTTGAAATCTATCCATCTTAAAAATTGCCAAGGTTGACGATTCTAGGAGTTGAAATCCACCTATCATAAAGCTGCCAAAGTTGAGGATTCTGGGAGTTGAAGTCTACTCATCTTTAAAATGACCAAGGTTTAGAAATACCGGTTTAAGAAAGATCTTAAGAGTTTGCTCTGTTCTCCTGATCAATCAGATCAGCTGCTCTCTGCATGAGTCTCTCTCTCTCTCCTGATCAAGTTTATTATGAGGTGCATAAACATTTTTTTTTTCTGAACCGCCTCTGCGCTTCCAAATTTAATCCTCTCACCAGTTCCTGCCTGTCAAAAGAAAGCTGGTGGAATTGGCAGGACAGCATTGAGGGCCCTCTCAAGCTCATCCAAACACTCCTCGACCCTATTTCAAAGCAGGCCTTCTCTTTACCGGAAGCCAGCTTAGCAGCACACACTTCATTTTTATTTATTTATACAGTCCTCCAACTTCGCACATAGTTATGCCCACTTACTTTTCTTTTTTAAATCCATCTTATAAAATAAGAATGATTGATTCGCCTTGCAATTCCAAGCAAAGAACCGATTTGTAGCTCAGCACCATGGGCCATGGGCTCTCTCCCTCTTAAGCTCACTCAATTTCTGGCAGATGCCTTCACACGCAACTGGGTGAGCTTTGAAGTCAGTTGGCTTTTTGTCAGTTTCATATGTGCAAATTTGATTAATTGTGTGTGTGTGTGCGTGCGTACATGGCGTTTTCTGACCCTAGAAATCAGGGATTATAAAGCCAGTTGAGGGAACCTACCTGTGACGTCTTGAAGATTGCAGGAACCATAGGTATATCTAGTCTAATGCAGAGAAGGACTACGGGGTGACACAGTAGCAGTCTTCTAATATTTGAGGGGCTCTCCCCAAAGAATGGGTCAAGCTGTTCTCCAAAGCAGCGGTCACAAATTGGTGGCCCATAGATCACTGGTAGTCCGCGAGAAAATTTTGGTGGTCCACAGAAAAATTATTTCCATTTTTTTATATTACACTAAATATGATTTATCTTTTTTTAAAAAAAAATTAATATTAGTGGTCTGCAGGATTTAAAATTATAAATTTAGCGGTCCAAAAAGTCACCTTTACAACACAGAGCACCAGAAGGTAGCACGAGAAGCAACGGATGGAAACTTATCAAAGAGAGATGCCAACCTAGAATTAAGGAAAAATTTCCGGACAGTGAGAATAATTATATCAGTGGAATGACTTGCCTCTGGGAGTTGTGAATGCTTCAACAACTAGAAGTTTTTAAGAAGATGTTGGATAACCATTTGTCTGAAATGGTATGGGGTCTCCTACCTGAGGGGGTTGAGCTAGAAGACCTCCCAAGGTCTCTTCCAATTCTGTTAGTCTGTTATTTCCTGACAGTGAGAACAATTAACCAGTGGAATGAGAAATTCTGGGTGCTCCAACACTGGAGGCTTTTAAGAAGAAACTGGACAGCCAATTTGTCCAAAACAATATACAGATTCTCCTACTCAAGCAGTGGGGGTTGGACTAGAAGACCTCCAAGGTCCCTTCCAATGCTATTATGAAACTCACCTATTGTAAACCATGCTGGCTGGGGAATTCTGCGAATTCTCCAACACTCGAGGTTTTAAAGAAGAGATTAGACAGCCATTTGTCTGAAATGGTACAGGGGTGGGGGTGTCTCCTGCTTAATGGGGGGAGTTGAGCTAGATGACCTCCAAGATGCCTTCCAACTCTGCCATTCTGCATTCAGAGCTCAGTCATGGATTCAGGGAGAAGCTGGCTGAGTCCTCCCCGTCCTTTCCTCCTAGGTGAATCACCGAAATCCTATAGGCCTGTGTCACATCCTGCCGGATCTTAATAAGAAAGAGTTCTGATTAACCCTTGCAATTCAGAAGGAAATCCAGGAGAATTTGGAGCGGGGTGGTGTGGGGGGGAAGTTAGCCTTTGCTAGGGGATAGAAAAGCGAAGGCAGCCCCTTATCTCCCTCCCCATCAAATACAACCAGGAACAGAAGGTCCAAATTTACAGTCCCAGCTCTGGATCTTTTCCCTTTAGCCCAGCCTCAGTGTTCCCATCTGTATAATGGGAGCAGAGGCCATTCCGCTCCCAAGTATGGCCTGGATATTGTAAATTAGCTAAAGGCTGTAATTTTTAATAAAATGAGATTTCTCCTCTGCAAGGTTTTTTTTTTTTTTTGACAGAGCAGTTTTCCCCCTTGTGAGAACAAATGTCTCAAAAGTTCTGGGGGTGAAACTGAAAAAAAAAAAAAGTTTATAAGAAAATCTCCCTTTTTCCACATCAGTCTGAACCTCAAAAATAATTTTACAGACGGGGAGCCCCCACCCACCCCCTTAACTAAGTTTTCTTATCTTGAAGGATGGGGGAACCGTCCCATCAGTCCATCTGTCAGGGGCTGATGGGTTAGGGTCCTGCCGCTTCAAAAGGACCCATGGTTCTCTCCTTTTTAAAAAAAAAATTACAAAGTCCTGTGAAGCAATGATATTTTCTGTTTCTCCTTCCCCTTCTTTCTGAAGCCTTCCTTTTGAACTGCTTTCTATTCCTCATTCAGGCCAGAAGCCCTGACCCAAAACTGAATTAAAAACCTTTAAAAAAGGAAAGTTAACAGCTCACACATCTCATTCAGATTGGGGGTGAAACCCCTTCCTATGCTCAGACGAGAATTTGAAGAAGAGTAAGTATCTCGATCTAACCAAATAGGAAAACAACAACAACCCAATAACAGAGTGACAAGAGTTGGAAGGGACCTTGGAGGTCATCCAGTCCAACCCCCTGCTCAAGCAGGAGACCCTATCCCATTTCAAACAAATGGCTGTCCAATCTCATCTTAAAAACCTCCAGTGATGGAGCACCCACAATTTCTGGTGGCAAGCTGTTCCTCTGGTTAATTGCTCTCACAATGAGGAAATTTCTCCTTATTTCTACGTTGCTTCTCTCCTGGATCAGTTTCCATCCATTTCTTCTTCTCTTGCCTGCTTTGGAGAATAGATTGACCCCCCTCAAATATTCAAACACCACTATCATGTCACCCCCTGGTCCACCTTTCCCACAGCCAAGACATGCTTACATCCAGGTTGAAGCAGAACAACAAAATAAATAGAAATAAACAGCTGGAAGGAAGCTGCGAACGGAGACAGGTGAGCGATGAGATCTAATTCATCCGCCAATAAATTGTCGCTTTTTAAGAGAGAGGGAGAAACAGGAAACCAGGTTTGCTCCAATCCTTTCTTTCTTTCTTTCTTTTTTTAAATGAAACCAGAGTAAAGACGTTTCGCTTTAGGATTGCAAACTGGCTGAATTCCCACTGGGGAAAAGTTAGGGGATTTCCCCGTTTCGGAGCCTGGGGTGTGTGGGGAAAAATGAGTCACCTGGGTGAAGAATGGCACGGAGGCCATTTGGATGAGACAAGTAAGATTGACACGTGCTGTGCCGGCATGAACGAGAGAAGGGGGGGAGAAGGGGGGTCAGTTACCCCCATCACTTTTTGCCCCTTCCCCCGCCCTCATTATTATTTCCATTTTTTTTCCAACCCTGGAAAAAAACCCTCAGTTGTGGTCCTATGTTAAGGACTACCTGTTGCAGGTATTCCTTGACGTACGACCACAACTGATTTCCCCCCCCCCCAAAATAATTTTGTTGCTAAGCCGGATGGCGGTGAAGCGAGTTTTGCCCAGTTTTTACGACTATTCTGGCCACCGCTGTTAAATGGGTCGCCGCAGCTGTTAAAGGTTGGGAAACGAGCCGGGCCTTGCCCCATCGACTTTTGAGGACGCAAAAGGGGGATCAAGCACGCACGTGACCCGTCGGGACACTGTAACCGTCATAAGTACGAGTCGGTTGCCCGAGCGCTTGAATTTTGATCTGTCGTAAGTGTGAAAACCCGCTCTTTTCAGTGCCGTTGTAACTTTGGTCACTAAATGAAAAGTTGTAAGTCGGGGACTAACTGTTACTTTCTCAGATCTGCTCTTTTGGGCAAGAAGAGCAGCCTCTGGGCATGTGCAGAGTGTAGAGAGCGCTCAGTCTCTTACGCCCGCCCCTTCTCCTCTGAGCCCCACCCAAAGCCTCCAGTTTTTGTATTCCCACACCCCCCAACCCCCAAAAACACGGGTGGGGGCGCAGGTGGCGAATCCCGCACGTGCGAAGCCGGCACGAGAAGGGAATCCTTCAGCCAGGCGTGCCAAACAGGAAGAAATCAGCCCATTTAAGGGCATCTGCGTCATCGTCTCGTGATTCAAGGTTCGGGAGAAACCAACCGCGTCCGCTCGTAGGGGGGGGAAGCGCGTTTGGGGAAAACCCCCTTCGGGTTTCCCTCGGGAGGTCGTGAGAAGGCGCGGGAAGTCAGGTTGGGTTTAAAATAGTTCCCCCCCTCGCCCTCGCAGTGGGCTGCTCGGGCCGGGGTTCCCCCACCCGGATCGCGGGTGGGAAAGTCGAAGTCCCTTCCTCGGCCTCCCCTCCCTTTGGAGACAAGTGGGACAACCCACGCCGGGAGTCCCCATTCATTAAAAAAAAAGGCCCAAGGTCGCCGCCGTTTCTTTCGGGCGTCGGAGCGTCGGCGGAGGGGCTGACATGTTCAAGGGTTACGGAGGAGGAAGACCACCTCCGCCTCCTCCCGGAGCTCCGCGGCCAAGTTTACCCGCCTTGCCCTCCGCAGTCCGGCCGGGATCTCAGCAGCAAGTAAGTTTCCCCTCTGCCTTCGCTCTCGCTTTGGAACTCTGCACATGCTCTTGCGGGGTGGGGTGGGGTGGGGTGGGGGACGACGACTCTGTAGACTTCGCGGTCCGGCTGAGATCGAGGCGGCAAGGAAGTTCCGTGTTGAACTCTGCACATGCTCGGAGGTGGCGGGGGGAGACTCTAGTCTTCGCAGTCTGTCCCAGGAACTCAGCAGCAGGGAAGTTTTGCCTTGCCCCCCGCCCCCTTTCTCTCTTTTGAACTCTGCACATGCTCTGGGGGAGACTCTAGACTTCGCAGGTTGGCAAGTTTCCCCCTTTTCCTTCTTTCTTGTGAACTCTGCACATGCTCGGGCGACTCCAAACTTCGCAGTTTGGCCGGGGATGGCAGCAACAAGAAAGTTTCCCCCTTTCCTTCTTTCTTGTGAGCTCTGCACATGCTCGGGGGACTCTAGACTCCGCAATCTGACCGGGATGGCAGCAACAAGGACGTTTTCCCCGTTCCTCTCTCTCTCTCTCTCTCTGCACATGCTTTGGGGACTCTGGACTCCTCTTCCAGCCCAGCTCCCGTTTCCAAAGAGACCTTCCAAAGGTCTTTTTGAGGTTGTCCTTCAACTCCCGCCGTCTTCCAAGGGCTAAAATCGGGGCGCGGGAGGAGACAGACGAACAGCGCTTTGGGTATGCTCAGAGGCACTGGTCAGGGGGCTTCGGGGATCGTGGGGGGGGAGGAGGAAGGATTACACCGGCCTGCGAACGCGTCGCCCCCTTTTACGAGGTTCGAAAGAAAGTTAACCCGGAACAAGGACGGGAATAGCGAGACGGACGGCGTATAAATTTCATCATTTCGTAAAATATTTTTTTTTAATCCACATTTTCGGAGCGTGCTGTCCGGCAGCCTCTCCAGATCGGGAATCCCCAAGGGATCGACCTACAGCAAACCCACCCACCCCCGCCCCAAAAAAGTGGATTTTGGAATATTTCTGAAATCGGCAGTAAAAAAGCCAAAATGAATGAAACTGAAACTGTCAAAGAAGGAGTCAAAATTGGATTTTTTTTCACGTGTCTTGAAGTTGACCCTAGTTAAGGAATCCAGCTGTCGGTCAAACGCGTGTCTGTTGCTTAATCCTGGAGCCAGACGTTGTGGGAAAGGGTCTCCCCCATTTTATCCACTGTAAGAGAAAGGAAATCTGAGATTATTTGAGATTTGAATTTGAGAACTGATCAAGGGAGCTTTCTACCTTTTGGGCAAGGTGTGTCGAGATCCAGTTTAAGGAACGGGGGGAGGCATTGATCCAGGAAATATTTCCTTGCTGATCTGGGGGTTCAGCCAAACAAGGTTGGTGAAAATGTCAAACCAAGGTTTGCGAAGGGAGTTCAGTTATTTCCTTCCTACCACGGCATGGAGGAAGGTGCCAGCTTTTCAACGCCACCAAGGGTTGGGCCCGTTGAATATCTCCAATATTTTAAATCTTTAAGCCTCTTCCTGCCCTAAATCGATCCATGTTTCTCAACCTTGGTGGCTGTCAGCTTGGGGTGGACTTCAACTCCCAGAATTCCCCAGCTGAGCACGTGGAATTCTGGGAGTTGAAGTCCATTCGGCTGAAAGCTGTCACTTCGGGGGAAAAAAAACAGAAATAAACCATAGGATTCGATGACATTCAATGGCCTTTCCTATTTCATGGTTTGCTGGTCGTTTGGGGGGATTTGGAGCCTAAATTCTTTAAAATTTACACCCTTCAGAAAATGCCAGATCAGGTTGGGGGGGAAAAAAAGCACCCAATCCTTATCCCACCTCCTCTTTTCCCCACAGGACTCCCACCCCAAAGCTTGTCCAAGCAACAAGCCACCCGCTTCCCTTTCTCCTAGCGCCCACTGCTCCTAGCAATGGAGGTTCTCCTCATCTGCCCCATCTCGGCTGCTCCTTCCAGTGACAGGGAGTTCCCTGGGCTCGAAGGCTACTTCTTTTCAGACCTGGCTTTGTAGGTCGAGGTGCTTTCTTGCAGCCAGGATTTCTTTTTGCGTGTGCTGCTGCGTTTGTAGGAGCGGGGTGGGTAGGAAGTCCTCCTTTTAGCAATAACCCTGCGCTGAGTAACCTTTTGGTTTCCAGACAAGGGGAGGGGAAGGCGTTTTGAAAAGGTTGCTTTCTCACTCACGCATCCCCTCCCCCAAATACCTGAGTCATCTGCTTCAGGCACCGAGGTTTTTGATTCCTTGTCTTGTTGGGCAGGCCATTTTTTGTGCTGTGTCATAAGTGTGAGTCATGTGTAGATTTGTCAGAATGGAGTCATACACACACACAGACACACAGACACAGACACAGACACAGACACACACACACACACACACACACACACACACACGGGGATGGGTACCTGGGCTTGCCTCAGCAGGCCTACCTCACAAGGAGTTCCCAGCTTTTTTGAAGTCTAGAGTCAACTTGGCAGGAGTTATGTAAGGAAAGCGCTCAGTGGAATTTTTTTCCCCTTTTTTTTTTTAAATCATTTTGATTTGGGATCCGTCCTTGGCTTGGAACGCAGGTTTGAAAATGAAATGTTGGAAAAAGTAAGGAAAAAAGTACCATCTTTTCTTTTTTGACAAACCGATAAATAGAATAGAATAGAATACCTTTATTGTCCTTGCATTCCACGAATACAATGAAATTTGAAAGCTACTCCAGCACAGTGCCCCAAATACCACATCATGATCACAGTACAGAGTATTTAAAAATTAAAATAATTAAAATAATAATAATAATAATTAAAAACCTAGTCTAAAACCTGTCTAAAACATTTAGTAAGTTAAATAGTTTAAAAATGCCACTATATACAGTACATGGTACTAAATCACAAATGCACAGTTTGATTCAAGACAATTATTGCCTTGGAAAAGAAACTGTTTCTCGGTCTATTAGTCCTCATTTTAAGACACCTATAACGCCTCCCTGATGGTAACAGTTCCAAATATGAATGTCCAGGATGAGAATGGTCTGTGGAGATTTTTAGTGCTCTAGAGAGGAGTCTGGACTTCGCAATCTCTTCCAAAGAAGAAAGAGAGCGACCGATGATTTTTTGTGTGGTGTTTATAACTCTCTAGAGCATCTTCTTCCACTGCAGAGCATCCAGCATACCACACCGTTACACAGTATGCCAAAATGCTCTCAATGGTAGACCGGTATAAAGTAACCAGCCACTTCTCAGATAACAGAATAACAGGGTTGGAAGAGACCTTGTAGGTCATCTAGTCCAACCCCCTCCCCTGCCCAAGCAGGAGACCCCACACCATTTTTGACAGATGGGAGTCCAGTCTCTTCTTGAAAGCCTCCAGTGGTGAAGCTCCCACAACTTCCAAGGGCAACTTCTGTTCCATGGGTTGATTGTTCTCACTGTCAGAAAGTTTCTCCTTATCTCCAGGTTGAATCTCTCCTTGTTCAGTTTTTAAGAAGAGACCGGATTGCCATTGGTCTGAAATGGTATAGGGTCTCCTGCTTGGGCAAGGGGCTGGACTAGAAGACCTCCAGGGTCCCTTCCAACTCTGTCATACTGTATTTTAACGGGGGTTAGACTAGAAGACCTTCAGGGTCCCTTCCAACTCTGTCATTCTGTATTTTAACAGGGGTTAGACTAGAAGACCTCTGGGGTCCCTTCCAACTTTGTCATTCTATATTCTGATAGGGGGTTGGACTAGAAGACCTCCAAGATCCCTTCCAACTCCGTTATTATTATTATTATTCTGCATTCTATAAAATCCTTTTGAGGGTTTCTTTGGACAGTTTAAAATCCAGGGTTTTAATCCCCCCCCCACTCCCAAGTCTGCTTCAACTGGTATTTTGTGGCCAGTTAAGCTCTCCCAGAGAAGGGCCTGTCCGCAAATGACTTTCCTTCCTGGGCCTTGAGCAAAGGTCTGGCGAGGTAGACTTCTCCTGTCCACGGAGGATCCATTTTGCCTCAGGGAGAGCAATGTCCTCTGTGAATCAGCCATTCTGTCCTCCATGGATTCTGCCTCTGTTGAGAACAGACATTTTCCTGCCCTGGTAGTTTGTCATGTTTTGGTAAGTGCTTATTGTCGACAGAGGTGTGCATGGCTGTAACCACTCCACTCCCTTGTCCTTCCAACCTGGAAGCAGCTGTGAAATGGACTTGCCCTTAGCAGAGGCTAAATTAATCCCTACCCTCCCATCGCTGAAATCCTTTACAACCAAGCCGGAAAACATTCCTTTCCTGTTGTGTTTGCGCACGGACGATTGCAGAGTCATGTAAACACCTGGTGCCTTACACAACCTGGGAAAAAGGTAGTACAATGCTTCTCATTTGGATGGAGAATAGAATAATAATAGAACAGAATTAATTAGAATAGAATACAAGAAAATAAAAGAAAATAGAATATAAAATATAGAGAGGAAAATAGAAGAGTGGAAAATAGAATATAAAATATAGAAAACAGAACAGAATAGAATACAATTCAAGAAAATGCAAGAAAATAGAATATAAAATATACTGAAGAGAAACTGAATATAAAATATAGAGAGTACAACAGAATAGAATACAAGAAAATACAAGAAAATATATTATAAAATATAGAGAAGAGAAATAGAATATAAAATATAGAGAATAGAACAGAATAGAATAGAATACAAGAAAATAGAATATAAAATATAGAGGAGAAAATAGAATATAAAATATAGAGAAGAAAACAGAAGAGAATAACAGAGTTGGGACCTTGGAGGTCTTCTAGTCCAACCCCCTGCTTAGGCAGGAAACCCTATATTAATTTTTTAGTTTAGACTACTTAGTGCAAAGTTTACCGTTTGGGAGAAAAGTAAGCTAAACCCACCGACCCACACTTACCCAGCTCATAACAATAAGTAATCCTCGACTTACAACAGTTTATTTAGTGACCATTCAAAGTTACAACGGCACCCAAAAACGGGACTTGGGACCCTTGTTCCCCACCATCGACCGTTGCAGCTTCCCCGTGCTCAGGCGATTCAAATTCAGAGACCCTTGGCAACAAGAAAATAGACTCGTATTTACGACGGTCGCTGTGTCTCCGGGGGGGGGGGGAGGCAGGTCCCGTGGATCCCCTTTGGGGCCTTCCGGCCAGCCAAGTCAAGGGAGAAGCCAGATTCACTTAACACCTCTGTGACTCCCTTAACGACGGCAGCGAAAGGTTGGGCGTAACATGGGGGCCTAGCTTCCTTAACCAACGGTCTCGCTTTACCACAGAAATTTTGGCGCTCCGTTGCGGCCATCGCCGTATCTTTGTGTTTATTTTAGCCGCCGGCTCCTCGCTTGAGCCTACCTCGCAGGGTTGTTTGTGACAGGGGTCTCCAACCTTTGGGCCCCTTTAAGCCTGGCGGACTTCAACTCCCAGAATTCCCCAACGAGCGGAATTCTGGGAGTTGAAGTCTGCCCGGCTTAAAGGGGTCAAAGGTTGGAGAGAGGCCTGGTTTGTGAGGCTTGAGGACTATAAACACATTTGAAGAGGGGAGAGACCCCTATCCCGGTTTGTGTGGAGCAATGGTGGCTTGATGGCGCCTTGACGGCAGCATGGTCCCAACCCTTATCGAAGGAGGTCAGGAGAAATGGCCTGTTTACGCCACTCCGAAGGCCTCGCCCAGTGAAATGACGCCAGCACCCCATGCAAACAGCCCGGGCGTGACCCACCAAGCGTGCCAGGAGCCTCCAGGGCAAGGCAGAGGCTACCGGGGAACTAGGTCACCGAGTGTGTGGAAAGGGCAGGCGGGTTGCGCATTCTGGAACACGCCGGGGCCTTTCACCCGCAATGCACCCGTTGCACCTCCAATCCGCAGAGGGCGGCTTTTCTCCCCCCACCCTCACCGGGGCATCCCTGGGCGGGGAAGGCGGGCTCAAGGGGGAGGGGCTTTGACCGCCACGGGGCCTCACCTGCCAGGGAGGGGGGGGGGGGGGGGGGGGGGGGTAGGCAGGCTGCAAAATGGAATTGGAATCAGATTATTTTACAAGGATTTAAAAGGCTCCCAGCCCGTCTTGCAAAAGTGAATTTCTCTTAGTTGAGCAACTGGGGAAATGTTTATCACTCAGCAATATAATTTTGGTCCTTCCTTCCTTCCTTCCTTCCTTCCTTCCTTCCTCCTCCTCCTCATCCCTTCCTTCCTCCACCTTACTACTCTCCTTGCCCTTCTCCTCCCTCCCTCCCTCTCTCCCTTTTTTCCCTTTTCCTCCCTCCTCCTCCTCCTTCCCTTCTTCCCTGTCTCCCTTCTTCGTTACTCCTTCCTCTCCCTCTCTCCCTCCCTTGCTTCCAACCTCCATACCTCCTCTCTTCCTCTTCATTACTCCTTCCTCTTCCTCTCCCTCCCTCCCTCTCTCCCTCCCTCCTTCCCTTCCTTCCAACCTCCTTT